CTATCCACCCATCAGTGTTAGTCAGCTGTCACGGGCTGCTTCCTGGGGGTGGAGGCCTGGTCGGGAACCGGGCCGCGGGGACACTAAAAAGCCTCGAAATCATCTCAAGATAACCTCAAGAAGGGGGGAGAGTCAAGGCTGCCACACATGGGGAGCGGGTAGGGGAGTTAGGGAGGAACATAGAAGCTACCTCACCTTTTCTGACCTCCACCCCCGCTCCACGTGGGAATTAAAGCCACTGTTCTGCCCTACCTTTCTAGAAAACTCAGTCACCACCTCCCCCGGTTCAGTGTGCTTCCTAACCGTCCCTACCACATGCTACCCCAGTACTCCAGTTCAGTATGTTCCCCACCCGCCTATCTACATGAGCTCGTACAGAGTTATTAAAAAAAATTAGGCTGGACAATTTTGTAATTAAGGGCATCTTTGATGACCAGACAGAAAGAAAGATTCATATTAACTTATTGTTTTATTCAGTTATTTTAGAAGAGGTTCAAATTTTTTTTTTAGAAGGCAATAGAGATGCTTGTGTATTTGGACTTTGGGAGGAGTACCTAACCACCCTGGGATTGGGAGCTTTGCATTCCCAACCCCAGGGTGAGATCCATGCTTCCACTAGTCATGTAGCCATACCTTTCAACCCCCATGTCTAACTGTACTCAGCCTCCTTGTCCCACAGAGCCAGCCACACGCCAGTGAAATGGTAATTATGCCGTTCCTTCAGGCAGGGGTGCCAGATTGTCTGGACTCCAGAGAGAGGAGGGGATACGCTACAAAAATCCCCTCCCTTTCAGCCCCGTGGGCCTTACTCTTGAGGTCCTGGGGAAGGTGATGTCAAAGGTCACCTGGCTGATGCCTCACCCATATGAGGTTGTTAGCAGTATGCTGTATTTGCTGTCATCACCCAAGCTGGTTCTAGACGTCAATGAGTAATTATGATGGGCCGTCGCCTTGCCAATATCATCGGAGCATGCCAAATCCTGCTGTATCAACAAAGACAGATGCAGGACTGGAAGTGGAAGATGTATGGTCGACGAGGAATGAACACCAGCTTCCTGATTATGTAAAGTATCCTTTGGTTCTCGAGGAAGCCACGTCCACTGAAAGAACAAGATGAGTAACGAGGTGATCACAGAGGAGCGGCACGATCCCTGTAGAGGGTGCTTAACCCGCCAATAGAGGGACACATTGCGCATCTTTCGGCCTAAGGTTAAGTGTTTGATGGGAAAACGAAGAAAGTAGTTAAGGCCTAGTATGCTGTGATAAGGACACCTGTCAGTGGATGGGAACCCAAGAGCCGTAGTCAGGACCTACTCATCTGTCACCACGCCAACACTGCTCACTTCCATAGCAAGACCTCGTTAATGTCAACGTCCCAGCCCTTTCCATCATAACAGGATCAAGTAACAGCTGATGTTCCAACAAGACCAACAGCAAGCATTATGTTGCAAGAAGGTGGACCCAAATCACTCAACTGCCGTCATCCGTCGACATCAGCATGGTGGCCGGTTTCTGTAGTCCTAACCCAGGTGTACACAGCCCATCACCGGAAGGATGGGAAGGCAGGATGCAAGAGACAGGAGCAAGATCTGTCCAAGACACTAGACGGGTGGATCATGGATCGATTTTACATCAATATACGCAGGCTCCCGACGACAAAGATCAAGATAGAAAAGTAAACTAGAAGGAGGTGTATGGTCAACGAGGAGTGTAAGTCAGCTGCCAGATATGTGAGGTCCTTCTCTGGTTCTCGAGGAAGCCACGTCCGCTGAAGAAACAAGAAGAACGATGAGGTGATCACAGAGGAACGGCACGATCCCTGTAGAGGGTGCTTAACCTGCCAATAGAGGGATACATTGCGCATTTTTCGGCCTAAGGTTAAGTGTTTGATGGGAAAACGAAGATAGTCGTTAAGCCCTAGTATACTGAGATGAGGACACCTGTGAGCGGATGGGAACCCAAGAGCTGTAGTAAGGACCTACTCATCTGTCACCAGGCCAACACTGCCTCAACGTCCCAACACTTTCGATAAGAAAAGGTCAAGATAGAAGACATAACTGGAAGAAGATGTAAAGCTTGAAAATTGTTCAGTCCTGGGGACTGTTGCTGGACTGCCACTGCTGAGTGGACAGTCGGGATTATTTAATATTGTTATTTAAAAGCAGGACTTTATGCATAAAGCCTGGATTATTATGTATAACTGTACTTAGTTAGGTTAGATTTTTTAAGGCAATTTATTTTTCAATCTGGAGGACCAGTCTGGGATAAGACAAAATCATGCTTAACTAACGTACACATGGTTTTGTCTTAACTCCGGGGAAAGAGGGATGTAACAGTTGTTGAGGTGACTTGAGTAGAGACTTGGGATTATACCTGACTTACGAGACATTCACAGGGAGGTGAGGTAAGGTCAAGCAAACCTCACCTCCAGTAGTTTCTAGAGTTGGAAGGTAGTCCCTGGTTACCAGATTCAAATCCATCCATTCAACGGAAAATTGGAGATAGACGAGTATAAAAGCTCATTACGAGAGAGCGAGAGGGAGTTGTGTTCTGTGCCTCAGTGCAGACAGGAGTCGAGAGTGTAGTGGTTGACACCACAGGGGGGGAGAGGGAGACCCTCTCCCCTGTGGGAGGGAGGCGATCTGGTGTCTACAAGGAAGCTTCGTCACTGTTGTATCTTGAGTGAGTACTGATCCCTTATATTCCAATATCACAAGTGTTGATTATTACATGCTTTGATAGGGAAGATAGATTAGGCTCTTTATATTTGGAACTAAATTAAATAAATATATATTACTAAATTGTCAATCTGTTGTATCCATCCATTCCTGCAAGTTATTCGTAGAGAGTTGCCAGGGAATAGTGGAAGTCAGCTGTGTTTTCCCCCCCCCCTCCCTGTGATATTCTGAACTCACAATGTTAAATCTCCCGTGACCGGTACCCTTCGACGCTGGTCACTGTTAAATACTTATTATCATCAAAGTCGAAGGTGGTGGCGGCATTACGTAGTGTTAAGTAATTTTAAGTTTTAGTGTTAAGTCGTAACAACCTGCTTTGTGTAGGTATCGGTGGTGATACACCAGTGATACGTTTTAGTTACTTTATATGGTGCGGTTGTGCCTCTGGCTCCAGTTTTCCGTTACAGTTCTGTGCCTTGTGGTGTCGACTGTCCCTTCAGGTGGTGCGTGAGCCGGGAGTGAGATTCCACGGTACTCGGGCTGCATGAGCCTAGGGTCACCTTCCCTAGGTGCCCTGTAAGTACTTCCCTTGGGGCTTGGGGCCCTCCTTCTACAAGTCACCTCGGGATCTACCTTTGCTGTGCCGATTACTGCTCGGTTTTTGGCCGCCCTTGGAGTCAGCTAGGGTTTATTCTTGCCCTTGTTTGTATCTTGGTAGGGGGTAGTTTTCATCACTGGCAGGGGCACGGTGTACTGCACAGATAGTTTTCACCTATAACAGGGACCAGCTCTGTTCTGCCTGGGTACGTTATCCTCTTGCGGGGTTTTTCTTTTGTTTTTGTTTTTTCCTGGGGGGGGGGGGGGTCTGCCATTGTAATTACCTAAGTGTAATTACCTAAGTGTAGTTACAGGATGAGAGCTACGCTCATGGTGTCCCGTCTTCCCAGCACTCTTTGTCATATAACGCTTTGAAATTACTAACAATTTTGGCCTCCACCACCTCACCTAACTTGTTCCAACCATCTACCACTCTGTTTACAAAAGTGAATTTTCTAATATTTCTCCGGCAGCTTTGTTTCGTTAATTTAAATCTATGAACTCTTGTTCTTGAAGTTCTGGGTCTCAGGAAATCTTCCCTATCAATTTCATCGATTCCTGTTACTATTTTGTATGTAGTGATCATATTGCCTCTTTTTCTTCTATGTTCTAGTTTTTGCATATTTAATGCCTCTAACCTCTCCTCGTAGCTCTTGTCCTTCAGTTCTGGGAGCCACTTAGCAGTGGCTCCCAGAACTTAGCCACTTAGTAGTACTGACATTTCTCCAGTCCGATACATTGCCTCTGATTACTGCCCTCATTTTTCTATCAGTCAGAAAATTTTTCATCCATGTTAGAAGCTTACTGGTCACCCAGAACAACCTCTTATGTGGGATTCTGTCGAAAGGGAGGTGGGAGATTGTCACCTGCTTTCTATGCATCTGTAAAGGGGGCCAGGTTGTGGCTCTGGTCCCTGGTAGACCAAACACAACTATCTGCAGCTGATGTGACTTGTTAGAATAAAGCAATCTCTGTAAGATAGCTTCAGGAAGCCACATGGGGGTTCCTTCCAGAAAGCCAACAAATACACAAAGCCACTACCTTACAACAAGGAAAATTTTACAATTTGTTTATGTTGCAATTTAGGCATCAGGTTAGCTTATTTAATGCCATGTTTTCTAAAGGACACACTTCACCAATCATTTAACATCCAGGTTTGCAATTATTATAGGGCTCACATCTGAACCCAGATCTTCTCAGTTAGAGGTAAGTGTGCATCATAGCATACCTGCTTGATGGGGTTCTGGGAGTTATACTCCCCACGCCTGGCCTGAGGCCAGGCTTGAACAAAGGAATGCCCCCAACCAACAATAGGCTAAAAATTTTAAATATATGACTTTAATATAAGGAAACCACATTGTAATATAGAAGTAATTTGCTTAACCAAATTTAAGATTTATAACAAAATGCTGGAAATAACTTCTGTTTGCTAGTAACATAGCAATTCAATGAAACTACTGGCAGCATCAGCACATGTATATAAATTTTTGTCCAGTCATGTTTATTAATTGTTACAATACTTCTCAACATGGCCTTCCTTATTTAACTTAACAAATAAGAAAAACCATAATTCATTGAAAACAATACAGTTACTATTGAGAATAATTTAAATTTGAACCAAACTCTCACAAGTCAAGCCTGGCCTCGGGCCGGGCTTGGGGAGTAGAAGAACTCCCAGAATCTTATCAAGCAGGTATCAATAACTACACAAAATACAGTAGTTACATTTGAAAAGAGGGAGTTTCCTCTTGCGATGGTTGATGGAGTACTGGTGATGTTGGTACCGGTGGCTGCGGCGTGAGCAGATCTTCCATATCAGAGTTACTGAGGCCCCAGTCATCACTCACATTACGCTGAGAGTCATGCTCCTCGCCCCAGTGACTACCTGCACAACTCATTCTGAAAGGTGAAACAGCAGTTCAGTAAGCTGCAGTGGAGTTCTATAGGCCTACTGGGGATCAACGCCAGAACCTTGCCCCCTCACAGAGGCGCAGGGCACGGTGCCATTTTTTATGCCACCTCACCTGGAAAAACAACTACAAAGTCAATAAGTCAAAACAACTACTGCTGGATATAAAAAAGACCGAAACCTTGAAATTCCCATAGAGACCTGTTAGTTCTAGAGCATATGAAGACATCCACCAACAACCTGGAAGGAGAGGAGGGAATCAGGAAACCACCAGGGATCACCCAGAAATTGGTTTTTCATTATATTCAATGCTAGTTTTCTGGGATCCATGAAGATAACTACACACAGACAAGAAAGAATGCATGGGACCATACCAGGGAGGAGGAAGCACAGCAGAAACACAAGACAAGGCCCCTCAGCTGAGACATATAGCTGAAGGCCACACAAGGGTGCCAAGAATTGCGAACATAATCTACATACTCGACCACCAGAACCCTGCAAGGCCTCTAAAAACACAGTGCCCAAAATCAGCGATATGTTTTGATTCGCCTACCAGGGGATCAAAAACAGGGGATGGTTTGAAAAATTTAGAAAAAGAAATGGTATCCATAGTGTTGCGAGGCATGGGGAGGCAGCCAGCTCAGACAAACCTACGGCTGAAAGATTTATTGAAGAATTTAAAGACTTTGCAGAGGCTGAGGGATACCTACCACAACAAGTTTTTAATTGTGATGAAACAGGACTGTTCTGGAAAAGATTGCCTAAGAGGACATACATTACCAAGGAGGAAAAATCATTGCCCGGACACAAGCCAATGAAAGATAGGTTTACGCTTGTGCTGTGTTCAAATGCGAGTGGTGATTTGAAAATTAAACCCTTGTTAGTGTATCATTCTGAAAATCCAAGGGTTTTCAAACAGTATAAAATGCAGAAACACCAAATGTGTATGACGTGGAAGGCTAATAAAAGGGCATGGGTGACTAGGAATTTTTTTCGGAGTGGGTGAAGGAAGTGGTGTGCCCTGCCATAGAAAAATATCTGCAGGAGAAACATTTGCCACTCAAGGCTCTGCTTCTCCTTGACAATGCTCCTGCTTATCCTCCAAGCTTGGAAGATGAATTGATGCACAGATACAGTAAATTTCTCACAGTAAGGTTCCTTCCTCCTAACACCACTCCTCTAATTCAGCCTATGGACCAGAAAATCATAGCGAATTTTAAGAAACTGTATGAAAGGGCACTTTTCCGGAAATGTTTTGAAGTGACTGAAGCCACAAACCTCACCCCTCAAAGAGTTCTGGAAAGACCATTTTAACATTTGCAGTGCTTTAAAACTCATTGACAATGCCTGGCAAGAAGTGATTCAAAGAACCCTGATCTCTGGCTGGAGAAAATTGTGGCCTGAATGTGTGACAGAACTAGACTTTGAGGGGTTTGAGCCTGTAAATGAAGCGCCTATTGTTGAGGAAACTGTTACTCTGGGCCGCCAAATGGGCTTGGAATTGGATAGTGATGATGTGGAGGAGTTGGTGGAAGAACACAACGAAGAACTGACCACCGAAGAACTCCAAGCCCTTCAAAAGGAACAGCAAGAAGACACAGCTGAGATGTTTCTCCAGTGGAGGAGGATGAGGCAGTACAGAATGTCCCTTCTGCAGACATTAGGAAGTGGTGTCAGATGTGGGAAGAGATGCAAACTTTTATTGAAAAGACTCACCCAGAGAAAGCTGTAGTAGGCCGTTGCCTTAATCTTTTCAATGACAATGTGATGCCTTACTACAGAGACAGTTTGTGAAGAAGGGAAAAACAATCTTCCATGGACAGATTTGTTGAGAAAATCGAGCAGTGAGCCACAACCAGGACCTAGTGGTATGCAGGCAAGACGTGCCAGAGAGTGCACCCCAGAGAGGTCCTCACTACCTGATATTATAATGGAAGGGGACTCCCCTTCCAAACAGTAAAATCTCTCCTCCTCCCTCCTCCTCACCATCTTCCATACGCCTACAGCATTCATCAGCAAGGGTAAGTAATAACTTGAACATAGTTTTGTAGGCTTATTTAGATGAATTAGGTATAAAATTTAATTTGAAATAAGGTTTTTGGGGTAGTCAGGAATGGATTAATTCATTCCCCATTATTTCTTATGGGGAAATTAGCTTCGGAATAAGAGTTTTCGGAATACAAGCTGTCGCCAGTAACGGACTAAACTCTTAAACCGAGGTACCACTGTACTGCCTACAAAGTTCAACAACACGTGCACCATTTGCATGCTACCGAATGATCTCTTGCTTTTCCTCTATTGTCATCCTCACATGCGATTTCTTGCCTTGAACCTTACCACTGGCTTTCTTGGGACCATTTGTGATGTATAACAAATTTTATGCTCAAGTAACAAAAATTCTGAAAATAAAAGGTAAATCCTTGTGAAGAATTCAGGCGGGATAGTCACTGGTCGCAAGGCACTGGCAAACTGAGCAGCGATCGCTGTGCCGCCATGCACTAGGTCGGCCCGTACGCGTATCAACAAACTTGTATCCTGAGGCAACCCTTGTAACCAGATACAAATTTTCAAAGCAAATCCTACTCGTAACCCGAAAAACTCGTAACCAGGGGCGCTCGTAATCCGAGGTACCACTGTATATTATTTGATATCTCTCGTCTTCTTTCTAGTGAGTACATTTGGAGGGCTTTGAGACGATCCCAATAATTTAGGTGCTTTATCGCGTCTATGCATGCCGTATATGTTCTCTGTATTCCCTCTATTTCAGCAATCTCTCCTGCTCTGAAGGGGAAAGTGAGTACTGAGCAGTACTCAAGACGGGACAACACAAGTGACTAGAAGAATACAACCATTGTGATGGGATCCCTGGATTTGAAAGTTCTCGTAATCCATCCGATCATTTTTCTGGCTGACACAATATTTGTTTGGTTATGCTCCCTAAACGTTAGGTCATCAGACATCATTATTCCCAAATCTTTACATGCTGTTTTCTGACTATGGGCACATTTGATTGTGTTTTGTACCCTGTATTATGTTTAAGGTCCTCATTTTTACCGTAATTGAGTACCTGAAATTTATCACTGTTAAACATCATGTTATTTTTTGATGCCCAGTCGAAAACTTTATTAACATCAGCTTGAAGTTTTTCAATGTCTTCAGCCAAAGTAATTTTCATACTGATTTTTGTGTCATCTGCAAATGATGATACGAGGCTGTGACTTGTATTTTTGTCTATATCTGATATGAATATAAGGAAAAGCAGCAGTGCAAGGCCTGAACCCTGAGGAACAGAGCTTTTAACTGCGCTCGGACTCGATTTTATATGGTTGAATGTTACTCGCTGAGTCCCGTTTGACAGAAAACTGAGTATCCAGCGTCCTACTTTACCGGTTATTCTCATTAACTTCATTTTGTGTGCTATCACTCCATGATCACATTTATCGAATGCCTTTGCAAAATCAGTGTATACCACATCTGCATTCTGTTTTTCTTCTAATGCCTCAGTGATTTTGTCATAATGGTCAAGTACCTGTGAGACGCATGATCTTCCTGCTCTAAATTCATGATGGCCTGGATTGTGGAGGTCATTGGTCTCCATGAAACTAGTGACCTGACTCCTGATCACTCTCTCAAATACTTTTATTATGTGGGACGTTAGTGCAACTGGTCTATAATTCTTTGCCAATGCTTTGCTACCTCCCTTATGTAGAAGGGCTATGTCTGCTGCTTTAAGCGCATCTGATATCTCCCCTGTGTCCAAGCTCTTCCTCCACACTATACTGAGTGCCTGTGTTACTGGCAATTTGCATTTCTTTATAAATATCGAATTCCATGAGTCTGGATCTGGGGCTAAATGCATGGGCACATTGTCAATTTCTCTTTCAAAATCTGCCACGCTTGTGTTGATATCAGTTATATTTACAGGGGTTTGTATATCACCCATAAAAGAAGTTGTCTGGATCCTCCACTTTCATGCTGTGTATTGGGGTGCTAAACATGTCCTCATACTGCTTTTTTAGGATTTCACTAATTTCTTTGTCATCCTCAGTATATGAACCTTCACTAGAATGAATAGGTCCAATACTGGCAGTGGTTTTTGCTTTTGATTTAGCATATGTGAAGAAATATTTTGGGTTTTTCTTTATTTCTTGAATTGCTTTCAAGAAATAACGTCACCTCCCTCACCAAAATGGCTCCTCCCAACATACTCCTGTTGCTGTTATTACACTATATACACACACATTGTACATACCCATGTACATATGTGTTTACCATAGCAAACCACTAAGCTAGAATGGTGAGCAAAACAAGAGTGGCTGCCACACACAACGACGCTACTTCGATGTTCTCCCTCCCTCCCCCACCAAAATTCCTCTACCCACAATACTATGCACATATGTACATGGGTATATACACACATAGTATGTACCCATGTACATGTGTGTTCGCCATAGAGGCTAGTGGCGAAGCCTAGTGGAATGGTTCGCCACCATTAGGCTAGTATGAAGAGCAACACAAGAGTGGCTGCCACACACAGTCACGCTATCTGGATTCCTTCCCTCCCTCCCTCATCAAACTCCCTCCTCCCACAATACTACACAGCGCTAATTATCACCACAATCCTGCTGTTATCACAATTCTGGTCACTAAATCCTGTAAATGAATAATGGGCCACAAGTTTATTTTGTAAAGTAACATAATAAGTCGTTTGAAGATTCCTAGATGGACGAAATAATGCTGTGGCTAGCGCTGTGAACATAGTGAACAGCATTGATTCACTGATATTTGAACATTGTAACCAGTCATTATCACACTCAGGCTCTTCTATAATACTATCATGGCTAAATAATACCGGTTACATATACAGTACAACCTCGATTCAATATACCCCGATTCAATGAATCTCCGGCTAGTTCGCACACTTTTCAGGCCAAATTTACTCACCCGGTTCGACGAACAATGGTTCGCCGAAGCGGGGGATGTTCGGATT